ATTTACATGAATCTAATAAAAACTCATTTTTCAAAAAATTTGCAAAATGGGCCTTTTTAATGTGAAAGACCCCATATTGTCTACTATCACATTTGGTAATATATTTGCCTTAATTTGACTGTGAGTATTTTTTATATAATATTCGTTGAAGTATGGCAAATATATTCAGATTGTATCAAAAAAGAGGTGATTGGCATCCTTCCAATAAAACACATCGGATAAGAAAACCAAAGGTACTTTATTGTAATTCTTTTGTTTTTAACGTAAAGCAAATATCTATATGTGAAAAACTGTCTCGACATATTTGTCAAATAAACTTGATCAAAATAAATTTGCATAAATATCAAGCGTTGCCAGTACTATATTATCAAGTAAATCGATTATAGTTCGATATTCTATATCTTTATATATTCTTCCAAATTTTTTTATAATTTTGTTCTAAATTTTTATCTAACTATTTCGAGTGAGTTCTAAAATAAGGTTAATCATCCATGGACGAGGCTTTTTTGCAAGCTTAAGCTTAAGGCTTTTTTTGGAACCAAAAACAAAGTAAAATAGTTTCTCGAAAAAAAGAATAGTATACTAAAAAAACATGTTCTCTACTGTTTAGAGATAAATAGAGTGGACCCAGAATTGGTAAAAATGGCTTAATTTCTTGTGGCGATATCCTTATATATAGTGCTTTTCTAACAAACAATTGGTCAGACCAATTAGCAACACAGTTGTCCAAATGTTGTGTTTTATTATTAATAGATAAAATAAATATTAAGGCTTTAATATAATCCTGAACCGAGTATAATTCTTGTTCATTAAATCCAACTAACTTAAGACCTTCTATTGATCATTCCTCCTTCTATTTTTTTAGATTATTATCATAGTTATGCACTATTAAAGCATCGATTCTATCAAGTTCATTAATAATTAAACACTTTTGTGAAATCCAAAGTAATTGTTGGTCTAAATATGGAATATCAAATATCTCTCTATAATTATTAATAAAATACCAACAGATTCTTGGCACTTCAACATTTAAGAGATTATAGATAGACATATTATTGTGTGTAAGTAAAACAGGCTAAGATTCTAAAACAGGTTTTGCTATGCATGTAGTGAAATGTTTTGTTCTAGATGTTGAAACAGTGTCTGGTCTTCTAATTTCATGAATTGAGTAATAATTATCTATGTTGTAAATATGAAGTTAATTTTTCTAATATATAAAAATAAATAAAAAAAATGAATTATTTAAACACAATATAAAATATTTATTTAAATTCAATTAAAATTAATGAGGTATGTTCAAAATTATTCTTGCCTTAAAATATGTACATTTGTCTAATGGAATCTGCTTGATGTAATAAAGAGAGCGAAACGCGCTGTCACTAATCAAACCTTATTCTATATGCCACATTGCCCACTTGGATTATATAATAATTTGATTGGGGCCAATTGGGACAGAATAAAACTAAAAGATATCATTATCGTTGGAAACCGGTTGGACTTTTATAATGAAAGGTACATATATCACATGATCCGCACTAAATATTAAAAATAAAATAATAATTTTCGATATTTGTTAAGAATGACCACAGTTTCTCTCGAACGTAAAGCGCCTTATATAATACCAATATCCTTTCTATGGTCACTGCTTGTATATTTGATTTCAAATAGTGATATTGCGCTGCCTTAACCTATTCATGTATCTTTTACGCGTTAAAGATTCTCCAAAGTCATCTTTTCCCTTCAACTACTGTCCAATCTCTCGCGGTACCGGATAATACCTTTAACGATTTATGTTGGCAATGGTTTCCAATCGACAGGATAAATGCGTATGAAGAAGATAGCGAATTTTGGATCTTGAAACAAGAATCGGATAAAGATCCAGAAATTACTTAAACTATTAAAAGGAAACAACTCATATATATACAAACGTAAAAGTCAATTCGTTGATAATAAATGTGAATGAAATTGTTTTTCAAATTTGAAATATTTTGCTCAGTGAAATTTCAACAAGTTCGAAATTAGTTTCGCTTGTAAATTAACGGACAATGAAGAGGCATAGGAAAAGAATTTTATAGCCAGATTTTGTCCAGATGAAAAGGCTTATCCTAATTCAAGATTACAATTAACGTCAAAATTGCCGAATTACGGTATTTCCGCATCGTATTGCGGCAATGCCGCATTATATTACGGTATTGCTGTACTTATCTATATTTGTAATCGCGACATTGCAACAATACGGAATCGCGGAGTCTTGTAAATTAATTTTGACGTCAAACCGCAGTTCAAGCTATGACTTAGAGAAGTTTTACAATTTCATTGGTAAAACTGGTTTGTGCACTAACAACTATGACTCGAGCTGCATCTTAAAGACATGGCTCTATGTTACTGTATTTCCATGAATCAGATTATTTTAGTTACATGAAGCCTGGTTTCAGTCATTAACATTCTCGGATTCTAAGGTTGCATGATTATTACGAACTGAATTACTCTCTATTTATTGACCCTACCAAATCTTACATTCCTTTACCATCAATTCAATACAGTCAATCAGTTCTTTATCAACATCCTTACCATCAACAGCATTCTTTAATGCCAACCCTATCACCACAGACCGCCTGTCATTGGGATTTTCGTTCGCTATTATAGTAGCAATATGTAATGCATACAATTGATATAACGAAGAAAATCCACCAAGTAAAAAATTAACGTTAGTGGTGGTGCTTGTAGAGAACGATGATAACGGTTTTGAACGCGAGTCGAATGTTACATAGGCCTATAGGAATAAATATTTCAAATGTTATATTTAATGAAAGCGATTATTGTTTATATTTAAATAAATATTGTCTCGTTTACCAAACTTCCAATTTTCCCATATTGTGTAATTATCACAAGAATTTTATCTCGAAAACCCGTAATTAATGTTTCCGTATGTACGCCATTGATCACTCGTGCTGCTTGCCTTGTTTGTAAAGGAAACTTTGTAGAAGACGGTGATTGCTCTGACATTTTAGTTAGCAAAAAGCTCATGAGCGTCGCGGAAGTCCGTTTTGATTGGTTGTTAAAATGCAACATCATAGGAAGACATTAATATGATTGGTCAATTTTTGTAGATCTACCCGTGATAATTAACCAATCAAATTACGCAATTTTTTTCGTTTTAATGCTATTAGAAAACGAAAAAAAAACTGTATAAAGAAGCTTCTAAACTAATAAATGCACACAAAAAATTTTATCTCAAGTGCTTAGAGAATAGACAAATACGCATACAGTGGGTAAATATGATATGAGTGTCACTAGAAGAAAACCCGAAAATTTAAATATAAGTCATTTAAATTTTCGGGTTTTCTTTTAACGGCACTCATAATCTACAATTTATGGCTGACACTACAAGAACCAACCAAATTTAAAACTACACTCATCTAACTGGTATAACCCAAGAGTACTAATTTAACAACGAACTCAAACCTGAGTACCGAATACACCAAACAATTAGATCCACATAAAA